TAACACCATCCTCGGCCCACAGTCACAAATGTTCACTCCTTCCACTACTGTTGCTTCATGGCATCAGTGTGTACCATCTATAAGGTGCATAACAAAAATTCACCAAAGATCCTGCACCTTCCAAACCCACAAATATTTCCACCTAGATTGATAAGAGCAACAGATGCATGGAACACTACCACCTGCAAGTTCCCGTTCAAGCCACTCATAGCATAATAGAATTTCTACAGTGTAGAAAGAGGCCATTTGGCCCATCGAACCTACACAGACACTTCAGAAGAGTTATCTTGCATTTACCATAGCCAATACACTTACCTGCACACGTTTGGACTGTGGAATGAAACTGCAGCACCAGCAGAAACCCATATTGACACAGAACATGCAAACTCCACACAGACAGTCACCCAAAGCTGGGATCGAATCCAGTCCCTACTGCTGTGAGGCAGCAGTGCTAACCACCGAGCCACCATGCCATCCATCCTGCTCACCAGGATGCTCGATACCTGCTCTGTGCCACCGTGCTCAACATCTTGACTTTGGGAATATATTGCCATTCCTTCACTGTGGCTCAGTGAAAATCTTGGAAGTCCCTCTCGAACAACATTGTGTGGGTACCTACAGCAAGTGGACTGCAATAGTTCAAGAGGGCAGCTCAGCATCACCTTCTCATTGATGACTAGGAATGGACAATACATACTAATCTGGCAACGTTTTGATTATTATGATTAATGGCACTTCCAGTGATTTCTCACGCTGTGGACCCAGCAACCATTAAGGAAGTGTCACCTTGTGAATTGTTGGAGACCAATAGAGCTCACACATTACCGACTGGTTGAAAGTCATCACAGCCTGGGTACTGCACATGCCTGAATTACAATATAGGGACCTTTTCTCCTACCTTGTCAGCAGCTGGTCTTTGGAGATCACTGCTAGCTCAGAGGGAAAATAAAGCTACAAGAAAATCTTATAAGACTTGGCTCTCCATGTGCAGTGGACAAGTAGGTTTAATTCACCAGTTTCACTGTATTTTCCTTCTGGGATTTCTGGTAGCCTTCCACCAATAGGTACTCTTCTCTGTTATTGCACATGCGCTGAAGTGTCAAATTTACTGTTTTTATATCAAGCCATTGTATTGAGACACCTTCTGCTCTTGGGTCACACTGCATTGAGTGTAGGAGTTGGGAAGTCATGTTGTGGCTGGACAGGTCAGGAATTTAATTTAAATAAATGTGAGGTAAATGAAAGGCAAATCAGGACAGGACTTATACACTTAATGGTAAGATTCAGGGGAATTTTGCTGCACCAAGAAACCTTAGAATGCAGGTTCATAATTCCTTGAAAGTGGAGTCACAGGTAGACAGGATGGTGAAGGAGGTGTTGAGTATTTGAGTATAGGAATTGGGAGGTCATGTTGCTTTATACGGGACATTGGTTAGGCCACTTTTGGAATACTGTGTTCAATTCTGATGTCCTTGCTATTGGAAGGATGTTGTGAAACTTGAAAGGGCTCAGAAAATATTTACAAGGATGTTGCCAGGGTTGGAGGGTTTGAGCTATACAGAGAGGCTGAATAAGCTGGGGCTATTTTCCCTGGAATGTCGGAGGCTGAGGGGTGATCTTATCAAAGTTTATAAAATCATGAGGGGCATGGACAGCATGAACAGCCAAGGTATTTTCCCCAGGGTAGGGGAGTCCAAAACTAGAGGGCATAGGTTTAAGGTGAGAGGGGAAAGATTTAAAAGGGACCTGAGGGACAAATTTTTAATGCAGAGGGTGGTGCATGTATGGAATGAGCTGCCAGAGGAAGTGGTGGAGGCTGGTACGATTACAACATTTAAAAGGCATCTGGATGGGTATATGAATAGCAAGGGTTTAGAGGGACATGGGTCAAATGCTGGCAAATGGGACTAGATTAATTTAGGATATCTGGTTGGCATGGACGAGTTAGGCTGAAGGGTTTGTTTCTGTGCTGTACATCTCTACGACTCTATGAAAAATCCCATGGTACAGCGTAAAGGGGAGGGCAGGTAACCTGGCATTGGGCAATACATATCTCTCAACCAACAGCTAAAACAGGCCGTCTGGCCATTTATGGCCTTTGTGTGCGCAGCCATGTTTTGCTCACATTGGCTGCCACCTTATTAAGACTATAATAGTATCTAACATTTTAAAAAGTTTCATAAATCATTGGCATTTCCCTTCTTATTGATATTGAATTGTATTCAAAACACTGAAATGTTTTACTTATGAAGGGAATAATGTTTTGTCCGTGAATCATGAAAATGGCCACAACACTGCACCATAACAGTTGGCAATGAATGCTATTAGGGATATCTCTCCACGAAGCAGGTGAAATATACTGGGATGCTCTTGATGCTGGAAATCAGAAATACCGACCAAACATGCTCAAATTACTCAGGAGCTCGGGCAGGAGCTGGAGAGAAAGGGAAATAGAATTAAAATGAGCCAGATTTTCGGGAGGAATGAAAATCGCATGAAGCTTGCCTCCCTGCTCCTTGTTGTCAAAGGTTAAGTACATAAGGTAAATGTGAGATTAGATGTCAAGTGGGTAAGGGGGCAGATTGGTAAGGGAGAGAGTCCCAGGTGGGTAGGGTGTCAAGTGGATCAGAGTGTAGGTGCCATGTGAATAGGATGTCGGGGACAAAGTGTCAAGGAGACCAGGTAAGTGATAAAGATATTGGATTCTGCACCAGGGGGAGGTGGTCAGCCCACCTTGAGTCCAATTCCAGCAAAGGAATGTTATATCAAAAACAGAAATTGCTGGAAAGGCTCATCAGATCTGGCAGCATCTGAAGAGAGAATCAGAGTTAATGTTTTGAGTTGAGTGACTGTTCCTCAGACCAGGACTGCACTGGTAGACCCATTGTTTCAGCCTGTTCCTGCCCCAGAGAACTCATCTCTTCCTACCTTGACTCGGTCTTCTCCCCCCGGTCCAGGCACTGCCCATGTACATCCGTGATTCCTCTGACACTTTACGCCAGTTCCGGAAGTTTCAGTTTGCAGGTTCCAGCCCCCTCCTCTTTACCATGGAGATGCAATCCCTTTACACATCCATCCCCCACCAGGATGGTCTCAGAGCTCTCCACTTCTTCCTAAAGCAAAGTCCTGAACCATCCCCACTCACCACCACCTTCCCCGCTTGGCCAAGCTCATCCTCACCCTCAAAAGCTTCTCTTTTAACTCCTCTCATTTTATTCAGGTCAGAGGGGTGGCCATGGGCACCTGCATGGGCCTTAGTTATGCCTGTCTCTTCGTGGGGTATGTGGAACATTCCTTGTTCCAGTCCTATTCTGGCCCCCACCCACAACTCTTTCTTCGATATGTTGATGATATTATCGATGCTGCTTCCCTCTCTCATCCGGAATTGGAAAAGTTTATCAATTTTGCTTCCAATTTCCACTCAGCCTTCACTTTCACCTGGTCTTTCTCTCACACCTCCCTTTCCTTCCTCGGCATCTCTGTTTCCATTTCTGAGGATAGACTGGCCACCAATATCCACAATAAATCCACTGACTCCCACAGCTACCTGGACTATACATCCTCACACCCGGCTTCCTGTAAAGACTCCACCCATTCTCTCAGTTCCTCGCATATATTCTGATGAGGCCAACTTTGTCAAGCAAGCCTCTGAAGTGTCCACCTTCTTCCTCAACTGAGGATTCCCCAACATTGCTGTCGACAGGGCCCTCAACCAGGTCTGATCCATCTGGTTCACTTCTGCCCTCACCCCTTCCCTTCCCTCCTGCAACAGTGATAGGGTTCCCCTTGTCCTTACCTACTATCCTACCAGCATCCACATCCAGAAGATCATCAGATGCCATTTCTGCCACCTCCAGCAAGATGTCACCACCAAACACATATTCCCCTCCCCTCCGTTGTCCGTTCCCTCTGGGACACCCTGGTCCACTCTTCCTTCACTCCCAACAATCCCCCTCCCTCCCCCCCATCACAACACCTTCCCTGCAACTGTTAAAGGTGTAACACCTGCCCATTCACCTCATCCCTCCTCAGTGACCAAGGGTCCAAACATACCTTCCAGGTGAAGCAACACTTTACTTGCACTTCACACAATCTAGTCTACTGCATTCACTGCTCACAATGTGCTCTCCTCTACATCGGGGAAATGAAGCGTAGACTGGGTGACCGCTTTGCAGAACATCTACATTCTGCTCGCAAAAAAGACTGAGCTACCTGTTGCCTGCCACTTTAACACACCACCCTGCTCCCTGATCAACATCTCTGTCTCTCTGGCTTGCCCCAGTGTTCCAGCGAAGCTGAACACAAGCTGAAAGAACAACACCTCATTTTCTGCTTGGGGACCCTGCAGCCCTCTGGATTCAATATCGAATTCAATAATTTTAGGGCCTAAACTCTCCCATGTCCCAGCCCCCTACCTCTCAGACCTGGCCTTGTTAACACATTGTTAGCCACTAACAGTCCCCATTCACAGCTTTTCACCCTCCTATCCAGATCATTATCCACTTCTTTGTCTAACTGTTCTTCTCTCTCTTTGGACTCTATTCCTACCTCTGGTTTACTCCTTATTCCCTTCCCCCACCCACCTTCTGCATGTAAACTGACATTTTCCTCGTTACCATCAGTAGTGAGGAAGGGCCAATCGACAAGAAAAGTTAACTCTGATTCTCTCCACAGATGCTGCCAGACCTGCTGAGCTTTTTCTAGCTATTTCTATTTTTGAATAGGACCATAAGATATAGGAGCAGAATTAGGCCGTTCGAGCCATCGAATCTGTTGCACTCTGATCATGGCTCATATATTTCTCAGCTGCTCAGCCCCATTCTCTTGCTGAGATCCCCAATCAGACACGATCTGAAAGACTGACTATTTCAGGTCTATGCACTAGGGGGCAGCAGGGATCCTTCCCCGCACAAAGATGGCGTCTCACAGTTTCTCCACGCTACCACAGTAAGATGGCGGCACCGAATCGTCATCTCCCTGCGCCACTTGTTTAAAGGAGGACCCAGGTCGCTCTCTGTGTTGGGCTTTTGGGGGGTTTAGTGGTTTCGTTGTGTCCGGCGGTTCTACAATGATGGGCTCGGCCCGAGGCGGGGTCCGCGGTGGACAAGATCAGTTCACCTGGGAGGAGGTGAAGGCAGATAAACACCGAGAGAATTACCTGGGTAAGGATAGGCCTTCGTAAAATCGCCGAGCCTCGGGGCTGAGGGAGGGAACAGTAATCCTGGAAGGTGGAGAATGATCCGTGAGGATGAGGGTGGGATACTGCTTGATTGAGAGGGTTGGGGGAGGGGTCAATCTCTAATGGTAAAGGGGTGGATGAGGGGAAGGTAATATGTTCAGCCCAAGGAGGGATCTTGCGCAAAGGGGTCTGAAATCCTAGAATCCCTACAGTGTGGAAACAGGCCCTTTGGCCCAACAAGTCCACACCGACCCTCAGAGCATCCCCCCTCTCCCTATAACCTACCTAATCGACACATCTCTGGACTCTGTGGGCAATTTAGCATAGCCAATCCACCTAGCCTGCACATCTTTGGGCTGTGGGAGCACCCAGAGAAAACCCGTACAGACATGGAGAGAATGTGCAAACTCCACACAGACAGACTTGGGGACCACTTTGCGAAACACCTACACTCGGTTCGCAATAAACAACTGCACCTGCCAGTCGCAAACCATTTCAACTCCCCCTCCCACTCCTCAGATGACATGTCCATCCTGGGCCTCCTGCAGTGCCACAACGATGCCACCTGAAGGTTGCAGGAACAGCACCTCATATTTCGCTTGGGAACCCTGCAGCCCAATGGTATCAATGTGGACTTCACAAGCTTCAAAATCTCCCCTTCCCTGACTGCATCCCAAAACCAGCCCAGCTTGTCCCCGCCTCCCTAACCTGTCCTTCCTCCCACCTATCCCCTCCTTCCACCTCAAGCCCCACCCCCATCTCCTACCTACCAGCCTCATCCCGCCCCCTTGACCTGTTCTTCCTCCCTGACGTATCCCCTCCTAACTCCCCACCTACACTCACCTTTACTGGCTCCACCTCTGCCTCTTTGACCTGTCGGTCTCCTCTTCACCTATCTTCTCCTCTATCCATCTTCTATCCGCTTCCCCCTCTCTCCCTATTTATTTCAGAATCCCCTTCCCCTCCCCCATTTCTGAAGAAGGGTCTAGACCCGAAACATCAGCTTTCCTGCTCCTCTGATGCTGCTTGGCCTGCTGTGTTCATCCAGCTCTACACCTTGTTATCTCCACACAGACAGTCGCCCGAGGGTGGAGTCAAACCCGGGTCCCTGGTCCTGTGAGGCAGCAGTGCTAACCGCTGAGCCACCAAAATGATTTCATCCTAGGGGTTGTATTTTAATGTATACACATTTTTATTTTTGTCTTGTTCATAACTGTGTGCAGGAAATTCGCTGATGGCACCAGTTGGACGATGGCAGAAAGGGAAGGACCTCACCTGGTATACAAAGGAAAAGAAAGCAGAGGGGACACAGTCTCGTAGTGAGGAGTTGATGGCTGTACGGAGAGCTGAGCACGAAGCCCTAATGGCAGCACTGTGAGTGGTGAGGATAGCCTGCATCAGCCCCGTTGGACTCCCTTCTCCTGTGAAGCCTTATGGTTCCGTGGATTGTGGCATTCCTGCAGAACCTCTTCTGAGCTTCTATATGGACTGGGGGCTACTCTCCATGTTAAACATACGTACAAACTAAAAACCTCACTATAATGAGTGCACTATGCTCCTGGTCTTTATTAATTATGGCATTCTGCATAAATACCTATTAAGCCATTGGTGGAGGGAAAAAGTGGTGAGAGCCCTATAATAGCACAACTTGTATTTATGTAGTACTCCCTGTGTAATTAGAATATTGCAAGTATTTCACAGGATTATACTTGGATCTCAGTTGATGCAGTCAAAGTTGAGACAGCTCCAAAGAAGCATGGTTTTTTTTAAAAAAGTAGGTTTTAAGCAGCTTCAGGAAGAGAGAGCTGATGAGCTAAAGAGACATTGAGAGGGAAATCTAGTGCTTGGGTTCTACCTTCTCAAAGTACAACTGTTTACATTGGGGCAAAAGAAGTATGACATGCACGTGAGGAGAAATCCAGAGCTAGAGAAGGGAGGAGGATTTGAAAATGAGGATAGGAGTTATAAAATGAAAATTTTAAAAAACTTTTTTTTAATTTGATGCAATGTTTTGTTTAATTAGTATGGCACACTGCATTTTTCAGTAGCTGTCATTGGTTTCCTGCCTGTCTTACTAAACTGGTTTTGAGCCCAGACTTTTTGGCATCATTACTAAGTCCTCCATCCACAACTGTTTCCTAATGTGCAAATGAATCTGTGTATGCGGTCTGCATTCTACATATGTCTCCCACCAACTTATTAACTGCATCTTCGCAAGCGTAAAACTCACTAGAGAGGAAGGAAACAACGAACAGCCCCCGTTCTCAGACACAATGGTGGAGAGACTAACTAATGGTGAATTCCAAGCCCGAGTGTACAGGAAGGCCACACACAAGGACCAAATACTGAACTTCAATAGCAATCGCCCCTCCATACACAAATGGAGCTGCATTAAGACACTGTTTAAATGAGTCATATCACACTGCAACACCCCAGAACTCCAAAGAATGGAAGAGGAACACCTGCACAAAGTATTTACCGACAATGAATACCCAAGAAGTTTTGTCTGCCAGTGCGTACAAAACAAATGGCACTCAGAGGACACGATACGACAGAAGACACTAGTAACTCTACTCTGCATCAAAAATATTTTGGAAATGATAACCGGACTCCTTATGATGCATTGGATCGTGATTGCACACAAACCTGCATCAAATGCTATCAAAGACTAAAGACCCCATACGGACAGTAAACGGGACTAATGTGATATACAGAATCCTATGCAGCCACTGCAATAAACTATATTGGACAAGCAGGGAGGAAACTGATGACCAGGATACACGAACGCCAGCTGGCAGTAAAGACACGACTAATATTCACTTGTCTCGATACACACAGACAGAGAAGGCCATCAGTTCGACTGGGACAAGTGAACAACAGACATGCAAGGAAATTTCTGGAGGCCTGGTTCTCAACACGGAATTCCATTAACAAACACAGAAACACACCCTGTATACAGACCGCTACTGAAAACGGAACCAGAAGTGACAAGACCCACCACTCCAGAGGATCTCTCAAATTCGGAATGGAGCAGAACACCAATGCTTCGATTAGCGGTCGTACTGATGATGTTGCCTAGAATGGTAATGAAACGTCTGCACACCACAGATCAACTGGCTCAGCAAGCTAACAAACAACCGCGTGTCTCCCATGTTGTAGGATTCATCGTAATGTGCAAACCTTGATGTGTTGTTCTGTGGGCCTGTTTATCAGTGTTGGTTTTCCTGCATGTCAGGACCAAGCCAATTCATCCCGTAAGACCATAAGAAATAGGAACAACAGTTGGCCTCGTGGCTCCACCATCATTCTATAGGGTCATGCAGATCTGACACTTGGCATGTCCACTTTCCTGTCCTTTCCCCAAACTATTGATTCCTTTACTGATCAAGAACCTATCTATTGCAGACTTAAATATACACAAGGACTCTGCCCTGCAGCTCTCGGCAGACTCTTAACCTTCTGAGAAGAAATTCCTCCTCACTTCAGTCTTAAATTGGCATGCTTTTATTCTGAGGCTATGCCCTCTGGTCCTAGACTCTGCCTTGAGGGGAACCATCCTCTCAGCATTTACCTTGTCAAGCCTCTAAAGAATCCTATGTGTTTCAATGAGGTCATCTCTCATTCTTCTAAGTTCTAACGAGTAGAATCCCAACCTGTTTAGTCTTTACTCGTAAGACAATTCCTCCATACTGGGGATCGTCCTAGTAAACCTTCTGAGTTGCCTCCAACAAAGTAATATTTTTCCTTAAATTAGGGGACCAAAACTGCTCTCAGTACTCCAGATGTGGTCTCACCAGCACACTTGTTGTAGGACTTCCCTACTTCGATATTCCAACTTTTAAAATAAGGGCCAACATTCCACTTGCCTTCTTGATTACCTGCTGAACCTATGTGTTAGTTTTCTGTGTTTCATGCACAAGTATACCCAAGTCCCTTCATGTTGCAGACATTTTCCATTTAAATAATATTCTATTCTTTTGTTCTCCCCTCAACTGAACAACTTCACATTTTCCCATACTATACTCTATTTGCTAACTTTTTTGCCCACTTACTTAACCTGTCGATTATCTGTCTGTAAACCGCCTGTATCTCTCTTGCAACCTGCCCTTCGATCTAGTTTGTGTTCTGAACGTTTGGCTACAGTATATTCACTTCCTTTCTATGAGTCATCAATGCATATTGTAAACAATTGTGGTCCCTTCACTGATCCTTGTGGAACCCCACTGGTCACAGGTCGTCAACCTGAAAAAGGTTGCTGTTTCCTGCCCATTAGCCAAATCTCTATCCATGCTAATATACTACCTCCAACTCCACTGTAGGCTCTTAATGAGTTAATTTTTTTTGTTAGGTACTTTGTTGAACACTTTCTGGAAGTCCAAATTCAACACATCTGTTAATTTCCCCTCCATCGACTCATAGGAACTGGAGGAGGCCATTCGGCCCTTTGAGCCTGTTCCGCCATTCTTCATGATCATGGCTGATCGTCCAACTCAATAGCCTAATCGTGCTTTCTCCCCATAACCTTTGATTCCATTCACCCCAAGTGCTATATCTAGTCGCCTGTTGAATACATTTAATGTTTTGGCATCGACTACTTCCTGTGGTAATGATTTCCAGAGGCTCACCACTCTTTGGGTGAAGGAATGTCTTCTCCTCTCCATCCTAAATCATCTACCCCAAATCCTCATACCGTGACCCCCTTGTTCTGGACATGCCCACCATCAGGGATTTCCTCCCTGCATCTACCCTGTCCAGTCCTGTTAGAATTTTACAAGTCTCTGTGAGATCCCCCTCATTCGTCTGAAGTCTAGTGAAAACAATCCCAACCTAGTCAATCTCTCCTTCTACATCGGACCCGCCATCCCCGGAATCAGCCTGGTAAACCTTCGCTGCATTCCCCCGAGAGCAAGAGCGTCCTTTCTGAGAAAAGGAGACAAAAACTGCACACAATATTCTAGGTGTGGCCTCACCAAGGCCCTGTATAACTGCAACAACACATCCCTGCTCCTGTACTTGAAACCTCTCACAATGAAGGCCAACATACCATTTGCCTTCTTTACCGCCCCCGAAAAACACTCATAAATTAGTCAGACAAAATTTTCCTTTCAACAAGTCATACTGACTCTGTTTGAACAGATTGATTTCCCAAGTGTTCTGCTATTTCTTCCTTAATAATTCATTCCAAAACTTTTCCAACCATAAATGTTAGGCTAACATGCCTATTGTTGCCCATTTTTTTGCCTCCCTTTTTGAATGGGGGTGTCAAATTAGCAGTTTTCCAGTCCTCTGGTACTTCTGCAGAATTCAAGGGTTTTTAAAAAAATTACACCCAATGCATTTATTATCTTTTTAGCTGTCTCTTTTAGGTTCCTGTGTTGCAAGCCATCAGGGTCAGTGGACTCTTCAGCCTTTAGCCTCATTGGTTTGGCTGATACTGCTTCTTTATTAATCGTACTTCATTCTGACACTGTGTTCTGTAATATTACTGGAATGTTTGAAATATCCTCTGTCATAAAGACTGATGCAAAATATCTGTTTAACTCCCCTGTCATTTTCTTGTTTCCCAAAACCATCTCCCAGATTCATTTTCTAAGGGACCTATGTTCATTTTGATGTCTATGTTCCTTTTTATGTATTTGTAGAAGCAGTTATTGTCAGTTTTTATATTCCTTGCTATTTTGCCCTCATAGTTTATTTCTGCTCTCTTTATCGTCTTTTTAGTCCACCTTTGCTGGATTCTGAATTTATCAGAGTCTTTGGGGCTATCACTGACTTTGCCTCCATATATGCGTTTTCTTTCAACTTAATTCTCTCCTTATCTTCCATGGTTGGCATGGTAGTTTATCCCTGTCTTAGGGTCTTACCTCGTTACTGGGATATATTTTTGCTGAGAGTCATGAATTACCTCAAATGCCTGTTACTGCTTGCTTACTGTCACTTCTGCTAATCTATCTGCCCAGTTCACTTTAGATAACTGTATCCTTATTTCATTGTAATTCTGTTTATTTAGGTTAAACACAGCTGTTTCTGATCAAAGTTTCTCATTTTTGAATTGAATATTAAAATTTTATCATGTTATGACCAGTACTTCCAAGGAGATCTTTTATAGTCAGCTCATTTATTAAACCTGCCCCATGTATCAGCTACTATTGTCCTTTTTAGATAGTAGAAGTCATTGGCTTGGAAGGTGCTGTTAAAGGAGCCTTGATGAGTTGCTACAGTGCATCTTGTAGATAGTACATACTGTTATCGCTGTGGTGGTGGATTGACTGAGGTGGTAGTGCTATGTATACAGTGTAAAGCTATAGAACATGATGACATAAATGTAATAGTTGGCTTTGGTCTCCAGAATGTCAGATCTATGTCGGTCATGAACTAGAATGAGCTTAAAGTTGAAAGAAGAGTATTGTCGGAACATCCCATTTTGCAGTCCCTCTGTAGGACTCCCAACTTGAAGAGCAAGTCCCCAAGTTGGGTGGCAGTCTGTTCAAATAGCTGTTTATTAAACTATTGCTGTAGCTGATTGGTTAGTTTAATGTTCTAGCAGCCAAGTGGGTATCTAGAAATGACCAATATCCCTTTCTGTTCAACAAAAATAAAACAGTAATAGACAGCATCATTGGAACATGGCCTTTCACTAGTCATAAACTTGACAAATGCATTGTTAATTTTAAATTTTGTGTAGATTGGTAGGATGAAAATCTATATTCTCCTTTCTTTAGTCATCAAATAGTGATAAATGTTCATGCAAATATCAATTTGTTGTGGTATTAATTTACTTGTTGCGCATAAAACATTTTCTACTTATGAATGCATCTGCCCAAAACAACAACACGAAAGTCATATGTGTCCAGCCAGTTAGTCGTACTAGGCGTCATGGCCTAAACATTCCACAGTTCCGTGAAGTCTCATTAGGCTAATTGTGGAAGCGTTTTCAGTGAAGCAAGAGTATTTCTCAAAATACAAAGTTAGAAGTTCAACCCCAGCCCAATGAAGAGTACAGGAGGGCATGTCACAAGCAGCACCAGGCATATCTAAAAATGGGTTGTCAATGTTCTGAAGCTACAAGCCAAGACTGCTTACGTGTCATTACAGTGGAAGCAGCATGTGATGGATAAGGTGACTTCATCTCACAACCCATAGATCAGATCATAATTCTGTAGTCTTGTCACTTTCTGTTGTGAATGGTGGTTGACAGTTAAACAACTAACCATAGCAGGAAATTCCTCAAATATCCCTGTCCTTGATTGTCACCCCATTGGTTTACACTTGATCGTGAATAACACGATGGGAATGTCATCGACAGTGCTTACTCAGCAATAACCTGCTTAGTGATATTACTTTTGCGTTTTACCATGACCACTTAGCTCCTGCCATCTTTATAGCCTTTGTTGAAACATAGATGAAAGAAATGAACTGAGAGCCAAGGTGAGAGTTACCGCACTAGGTGTTATCATCACTAGACTATTAGTTCAGAGACTCATGTTTTGGGGACCCAGGTTCAAATCCTGCCATGGCAGATGGTGGAATTCAAATTCAATCTTGGAAAAAAAAACTGTAATTTAAGAGCAGCGGTGGAGGGAATGGTTGTGGTGCCTATCAAGCAGCTGCTTTGACTTAGTGCCGATTTTCTTCAGTGTTGAAGTTGAACTCATTTGGCCAGTGGAGGATATTATATCATACTCCTAACTTCTCGATGCTGAACAGGCTTTGGGGAGTTAGGAGAGGAGTTACACACTGCAGGAGCCCAAGCCTCAGACCTGCTTTTGTAGCTACAGTATTTATACGGCTAGTCCAGTTCAGATTGTCATACCCACGGAATGTTGACAGCGAGGGATTCATTGATGGTAATACCACTGAATGTCAAGGGGCAATGATTAGATTCTCTTCTGTTAGAGACAGCCGCTAAAAGGCACTTGGGTGGTGTCAATATTACTTGTCACTTATCAGCCCAAACTTAGCCACTGCCCAGATCTTGTGACATTTGGCCATGGACTAAATAAGGATCTGAGGAGTACAACTGGTGCTGAAATTGTGCAATCAGTGAACATCTACATTTCTGAACCTATGATAGAGGGAAAGTCAACAATAAAGCATCTGTAAATGGTTGGGCCCAAGACCGATCATGAGGAACTCTTACAGAGAGGTCCTGGAGCTGAAATGACTGACCAATAACCACATCCATCTTCCCTTGTGCTAGGTATGTTAGGTTTTCCCCCAGGTTTCCAATGACTGTAGTTTTGCTAGGGCTTCCATTAGCAGTTATCAATCACCAGAAAATAATGAAGTACTCCTATGGATCTTAATATAACATCAGCATTTGTTTTTCTCTTGTTAGAGGGCACAAGAATCCCAAAAGGAAACCCACCGGAATAACAAAAGAAGTAAGTAATGAGTGAAGTGCAGTATAATGAATGGAAATTGTACAATAGCAGGTTTGTGATCTGTTTACCCTGTGTGATTCTGTGGTATACTGCATCCTGTACAGGATCCGCTGTTGTACAGTGTCCTGCAAGTGATCCACTGTAAAATACACTGCATTCCAATTATATTACAGAGTATCATACGTGCATTCCGTATGCAATCTTCTGTGATTTGTTTAACGAGGTTGTCTCTCACTGAAACATAAGCACACAATGCTGCATATTTGGTTTTAACAGCAAAGTAGACGTTCACTCTTAAATGAAAACACCGAACGAATACTCACATATAAAATTAAACACCCAGAATCTGGATACAATGTTCAATTGGGATTATTGTGCATGTGTACAGAGACCGAATGCTCAGCAATCCAGGCATTTCACCGAGGTTCAGATCAACACACTTTAAATGTTTATTATCATCAGTTACAACTAACAACATTAAGTAGACAAAGGTCACAACATAATGGTTTCTAGTGGGCTGATAACTGTGTGCAATACAATCATATTTTGGGAATTACGTTAGAGAAATTTGGTATTGTCTTTCCAGAAACAGCAAAGAATATGTAACAAAAACAGAAATTATTAGCAAAACTCAGCAGGTCTGGCAGTATCTGTGGACAGAGAGCAGAGTTAACATATTTTAGGTCCAGTGATCCTTCTACAAAACTATTTTAGCCAAGAATGTGTGTCTGTTTTGCAGAAAAGGTTTATGGAGGTGAATGGATGTTGTTTGGAGCTATCTGGCTGTGTGATAGTGGCCTTCTTCATTTCTTAATTGGGCTATCCTCTGTCATTGTTTATGCTGTTGGTATGCATGCTTGGGATTAACTCTCCCCCACCCCTCCCCATTCTCTCTGCCCAAAATTTAGAATATAGGACAACCTTGAGTAGTGTCTGTTTCATTATTTGCAAATTTTTAGCTGATCTCATTGCACAATTTGAGCTGTCTTCTAAGGCTGTGATTTTCTGTGTATGTTTTGGTACCCTAGCTGCTGGTCCTAACTGATCCTCTCGAGCTAAATTCTGCACCTTTTACAAGAAATGAACATCAAAATAGAATAAACAAAACTATTTACTAAAATAGACAAATTTAAAGTTTTCAAACACAAGTAAAATACAATCCCATTAATGCCAATTGAACTCAACTCACCAGAAAGAATTCCTGTCTGTATTACATCTGTAGGGCTTAATTTAATTGTGACTTCAATTCCCTGATCTTGAGAATCTGATCTCTTCTTTCTTGAATCTGTTCAGTTTCAGCCAAGACTTTTGCAAATCAGAAAACTGAAACTGAAAGGTTTTCCAAGCTATGGGTGTTACCCAAGCATTAAAAACACAATTCCAGAATCTTCCACCTGAAGCGTAATGCACTGTTCACCCTGTGCTTGTAAAAACTCCCCCAAAGTAAACAGATTCCTATTAGCCTTCAATTATGTCTCATTCTATTTTTAAAAAGAAATTGCCATAGCAATATAAATATTTACAAGTTATTCGCTAAATCATTGTCGCTCACAAACACATGCACACACCAATAGTTAAAAATCTAAAATGAATTGTTAAAACGTATATAAATCTCTCACCTTGCATCACAATCTCTGAAATAGTGTACCATGCGTTAGCTTCAGTGATTAACTGTCCCCTGAGTGATGGTGTCTGTTTAATATGCTGCTTATTGATGGGTGAGAAACTGGGGTCCCTTTTCTTGGCAAAAGGTAATGTGAATGCTTGTTGGAAAGAGGTTGTCAAAAGCATGAAGGATCTAGACAGAAGGATTGAAAATCTGACAAAGTCAAGGTAATTGGCAAAGGAATCAATGTCAAATATGAAGAAAATCTTTCTTGGGCAGCAAGTGGTGAGAATCTGAACAGCGTTGCCTGTGATGGCAATAGATTCAATCAAAGCTTTCAAAGGGAGTTAGGTAAAGGGAGAAAAGACTATTTGGTGAATATGGAAGTGTGGCACCATATGAGTTGTAAGAAGCAGCATGGACTTGACAGGCTAAATAGCCTCCTTCTGTGCTATAACCATATTATGATTATGTAATTCTGAGTGGCGCAGTGTATATCTTGAATATTATTGTTCTAAAAATTCATTCTCCATCTTATTTCAGGAACTGTTAGAGGTCTGTAAACGTGATACTGTGGAACCAGACAGCAAGGATGTTGACAGAGTCCTTGGACTTGGCAGTTCCAGGTATGGAAATCCATACCTTAGCAATTGTAGTCCTTCCTTCTATATCTCCTTTACTGCTGCATAAAGCACTGCCAAAAATTATATTGTAACATATGATTGTGCATAACGTTCCTGAATATATTATCCCAATATGTGATACAGCTGTATATATTATGTATTAGGTTTTCTTTTATGGTATATTGTACTGAGACAGTTTAAACTAAGTGTGGAGGGTTGGAGCGCTTGGAGAGGCAATACTTAAGCTTACACAACACAAGGATATTGCAGGGCAGTTATTTAGGCAATAATACCCAGTGTGGGACAGGAAAAGATGGTGTATAAACATTAAGGAAGAATGGCAAGTAAGGTCAAAAAAGCAAAAAAAGAATAGCGAAAAAGCAAAGTTAATGATTCTTTACTTAAAAGCACATCGAATTTAAAATCAAATAAACAATCAAGTTAATGACCCAAATAAGGGTTAATGGGTGTGATCTATCCATTGCGGAGACATGGTTACAAGGAATCAAAGCTGGGAACTGTATGCGACTTTTTGGAAGGACAGACTAGAAGGGAATGGTAGAAAGGCAGTGTTGGCATGAAATAGAGTAAGTACTGTACAGAATGAGCGGGGAAAGATCATAGATTGGAAGATGTATGGTTGGAGGCAAGAAATAACAAGGAGTAAAAAGACACTAATTGGAGTAGTCTATTGACCCCCTAATGATAGATGCTCTATAAGGCAGAGAATAAGTCAGATAATGAAGGCATGATCTGAACAGAAACGGCACAAAATTAATCAAAGGTGTCTTAATCTTCTTTGTAGATTTGGAAAATCGAATTGGCAGAGGTAGCCATGAGGAAGCACCATTATAAGAGACTGGATCAGTTAAGGCTATGTTCACTCAAGCTTATTACAACGAGAGGAGATCTCCTAGAATCCTGTAAAAGTCTAAAATGACTAGACAGGGTAAATGCAGAACGGATGTTCCCAATGACCGGGGAGTTCAGAACCAAGGACACAGTCTAAGGTTGCAGGATAGGCTATTGAGAACTGAGATGAGAAAAATTTCTTCACCCAGAGAGTGGTCAGTCTGAGGAATTCTCTGCCATAGAAAGCAATTGAGGCCAAAACATTAAATGTTTTCAGGAAAGAGTTAGATGTAGTTCTTGAGGCTAAAGGCGTCAAAGGGTATGGGCAAAAGCAGGCATGGGGTACTGAGCAGTGTTATCTCTAATTTTCATTCTGGCTATGTCGACCTCTGAGGCCTTAAAGTGTGGCAGTGACTTCCGGAGCTGAAGTCCGTGCTAATTTCGGTGTGCCATGCAGCTTAGAGGAAGTGTTGGTAATAAGTAGGATGATCATCCATGATCACGTTGACTGCGGAGCAGGCTCGAAGGGACCAAACCTGGCCCTATTTTCCAAGTTTCATAGTGTACTCAGTTTCCAAGAAGAAAATTCTTCACGCAGAGACTGATGAGCCTGCAGAATTCTCTGCCACAAAGTGGTTGAGGCTAAAACATTGAATGCTTTCAATTAGGGGCTAGATGTAGTTCTTTGGCCTGAAGGGATCAAAAGGTGTGGAGAGAAAATGGAACGTGTGCTGAGTTGAACAATAAGCCATAATCCATATTGAATGGCTGAGTAGTTTTGAAGCACCAGATAGCCAACTCCTATTTTTTATGTTTTTAATACGTTGTGGATGCAACTAGGGATTTGGTTATTTTGAATCTGGTATTCTATAATAAAGCAGGTTTAATAAATTGCCAAAGTAAAAGATTCCCCAAGAAAGCAGTGGCCATGATATGATAGAATTCAACCTTCAGTTGGAGAGTGAGAAACTTGGATAGAAAACATTTGTGCTAAACTTAATTTCATTGTAACAACTCTTGTCTAACACAGAGTTACCTGGAATGTTTCCAGGATTGGAGGGTGTGAGCTACAGGGAGAGGCTGAATAGGCTGGGGCTATCCTCCCTGGAGTGTTGGAGGCCGAGGGTTGACCTTAGAAGTTTATAAAATAATAAGGGGCATGGATAGGGTAAATAGGCAAGGACTTTTCCCTGGGGTATGGGAGTCCAAAACTAGAGGGCATTGGTTTAAGGTGAGAGGGGAAAGATGTAGAAAGGACATAACAGGCAACTATTTCATGCAGAGGGTGGTGTGTATGGAATGACCTATCACAGGATATGGTGGAGTCTGGTACAATTACAACATTTAAAAGGTTTTTGAATAGGAAGGGTTTAGAGGGATGAGTCAAATGCTGGCAGATAGGACTAGATTTATATAGCCTGTTCGGTCGGCATGGATGAGTTGGACCAAAGGGTTGGTTTCCGTGCTGTATATCTCTGACTGTACGACTCCAAATGAGTTTAACGGTTGATGAATAATGGAAAACACTTCAGATAGTTAATGATTTCTAGCAAAGATGTATCTCAGTGAGAAAAAAGGATTCCAGGAAGGGGATAAAAGCAACCATGGTTAACCAAGGAAGTTAAGGATAGTATAAAAGGGTGCCTGTGGCACAGTTGTTAATGCCCCTACTTCTGGACCAGGTGATCTACGTTGAAGTTCACCTGCTCCACGGTTGTGTAATAATATCCCTGAACAGGGTTGACTAGAAAATATATAAAATTTAAAAGTAAAAAAACCATACAATGCAAAGTTTGGTAGTAAGCCAGAGAATTGGGAAGTCTTAAAACCAACATGAATGACTAAAATAATCTAAAGATGGAGAAAATAACCTAGCAAGTATTTATAAAAATGGACACACTTTTTTTTTAAATGTATAATAAGGAAATAATAATAATGGGGAACCATGAATTAACAGAGGATATGAATAAATACTATGCATTGTAATCGTGGTAGAAGATACTAATAGCATTCCAAAATATCGAATAATTAAGGGGCAAAAGTTGGGGAGGGGTGAGGAAATAAATAAAATAACTAACTCTAGGGAAAAAGTAGTAGGAAAACTACTGGGGCTAAAGAGTTAGTAGGAACTGCAGATGCTGGAGAATCCGAGACAACAAGGTGCAGAGCTGGATGAACACAGCAGGCGAAGCAGCATCATAAGTTCCCTTTGACTTGCTTGGTTTTATCCTAGGATTTTAAAGGAAGTAGCTGCGGAGATAATGGATATACTAGTCATAACCTTGCAAGAATTCTTAAATTCTGGACAAGGCCCAGTGGATTGGAAAACTGCCAGTGTAATACCTTTATTCAGAAAGGGAGGGAGACAAAAACAGGTAATTATTGGCCAGTTAGCTTAACATCTCTAATCGCGAAAATGTTAGAATCTATTATGAAGGGTGTAATAGCAGAATTTAGAAATACTTAATATAATCAAGCAAAGTCAGCATGCCTACCCGAAGGGGAAATCATACCTGACAAATATTTGGAATTCTTTGAGCTAACAAGCAGGATAGATAAAGGGGATTTTGTTGTATTTGTATTCCCGAAAGATGTTTGAACCGCACATTAGGTTACTTAAGAGCCTAAACATACTAGTATGGATAGAGGAATGGCTCATCACTGGGAGACGGAATTGGAATACAGGACACGTTTTCAATGGCAACCTGTGGAGTTACTAGAGGGATCATTGCGGGTACAATTATTTACAATATATATTAGTGACTTGGATGAGTGAAGTGAATATACTGTTGCCAAGTCTGCAGATGACAGAAATAGGTTGGAGGGCTGGTGACAATAACACATAGAGTCTGCAGAGGGATATAGACAAGTCAAACAAGTAGGTAAAAACTTTGAGGATGAAATATAATGCGGGGAAGTGTGAGGTTGTGTGCTTTGGCAAGAGGATAAGAGGATCTGAATATTACTTAAATGACAAGACTGCAAAAAGTTTCAGCTCAGAGGAATTTGGGAGTCCTTTTGTATAAAGCACGAAGTTAGCATTCAGTTTCACTTGGTAATAGGGAAAGCAAATGGACCTTTAGCCTCTATTTTAAAGGAAATGGAGTTTTTAAAAAAAAAGGGAAGTCTTGCTAAAGCTTTACAAGGCACTATTCGGACCATACCTAGAAAACTGAATAGTTTTGGTCCTTTTACCTAATGAAAAGTATATTAGCATTGGAGGCAGTGCAGAGAATGTTCACGAGGTTGTTTCTGGGTCTGGAGGGATTTTCTTGGAGAGGGGTAAGTTAGGCCTGTACTAATTGGAGTTTAGAATAATGAGAGGTGATCTTGTTGAAATATAAATAGTTAATTAATTATCTTGACAGTATTGATGTGGAGAGATTATTTCTACTTGTGGAAGAGTCTAGAACTAGAGGGCCTAATGTCAAAGTAAGTGGTCGCCCATCTAAGACAGAGATGGGGAGGAACTTCTCTGAAGTAGTAAGTCTGTATAATTCTTCACAGAAGGCTGTAGAGGCTGCGTTGTTAACAATAGTCAAGGCTGACGTCGACAGATTTAATCAGTGAGGGAAAATTTGAGGACAAGGGGGGATAAAGGCAAGAAAGTTGAGTTAAAGATTATCAGATTATCCATGATCTCATTGAATGGTAGAGCTAATTTGATGGGTACTTTTGCTTCTATCTCTGATCTTAGGACCTTCGAGCATATCTTTATATCCCTGAAACCTACCTTCTGCTCTATCCATCTGACTATCCATAATTTCACTTCTGAAACACCTCTTTCTAAGGCTGCAAACTCTCGTCTAATTCCGCCTTTTGAGTAACTCGGAGAATCAGCTGTAGAAGTTCATTCCTTTCCTCTGCTGGAAAATCCTCTGTGGCAGACTCCAGATTTACATCCAGCTGTGTCCCAATCAGAGTCTTTCACAGGTGCGGCATAAAACAGGTTGCAATATCTTTTTGTATTCCTTATCTGTGGGGTGGGAGTTTTCGCTGGTCATGCCGAAATATTACACATTTCAGAAAGCAGATTGTGTGGGCCTACATTGCTGATTTGCTTTTCTGAACTAAGCTAATGTAATGTTGATATTCAGTCATTGTTTCTCATAGAGCTGATTTATTGAGGGTGAGTAAGATTTGGGATCTTT